AAAACAGTAAGCTGATGTAGGAGGTGTAAAATGTGGCAGTCCCTCCAATCAGTTGCTTCCCGAGGTGGCTGGCTCACTATGCCTCTTGGTGGGGCCAGCCCTTATTTCTGTATCTAAGGCTGTGGGAAATAGAATGAGAGTTCATTTTAGAACACATACACAAGTCTACGTATAACACTTTAAAATTCTCAAGGGCTATTTGTTTACTTAATTTTCCATTGTTAAACCTCATAAATAAAGTTTTACAAACTGAATCTCTTCTTATTCACAGTTATATAACAGACAACATGAACACTTATGACAACAAAATGCTACGGTTTGTGCACCCAGGGCCTTGGCAACAGCACCAATACAAAAGTTGTGTATAGAATTGTAAAGTTCAAGTGTCCTTTTGAATTTAAGTTTAGACACAAATCCAAGATATCTGCCTCAACTGGGTTGGGTATGCATATACTGTAGCATAGAAGAATCAGCCGCACATATGCAGCCTTCCAAATACTAAACCAAGTTGGCAAGGCCCTTAGCAGTCTTAAGTGGCAACAACAGCTTCAGCCTCTTCAGCTCCCCCACTCTTGTGATCGTGGCTTGACCGTCTGATTCAACATGCCCTACTTCATATCTTGGCCTGAATTTAATTGCAGGTCCCAGTGGCTTGAAACAGCTAGGCAAATGTTTGGGATGCCATGTCCCCCTCTCCCCACTTTTTTTTTACCATCCAGCCTAGTGAAAAGTTCTAGAGAGCTTGCATATTTTGTGTGCTTATAGCTGATCTTAAAAAAAATGCACCGCTTACCTGAAGATTTCAAATTTGTTTGGATCATTAGCACTTCCTTGTTCTATTTCTGTGCCGATATTTTAGTGACCTTGAGGCTTAAGCATATGTTCCTGTTAATGCTGGAAGCATGCTCCCCCACCCTTCTCTCTTACGCAGTCTATGAAACACCTGCTTGAAGTGTCATTGTGTTCTGACCTAGCGCTTTCAGGGTGCTGTGTCCTTTGCATGCTCCAGTCTTCCTTCCTGTTGTTTTTTTCCACGCAGAAATTTTACTCGTCTTCCTTCCTCCTGCCTGACTCCTGATGGATGTGCTAATCACTTCACTGTCCTTAGCCTCCAACTGCAGAGTTAAATGACCTTTAGAAAAATATCAATGTATAGTTTAGTACCAAACTGACCTTAGAGAGTATCAGGCAGAACTCTGTACCATGCTAAATGAACCACAACCATCATTCATTATCTCGACATAGGAGGGAAGTACTAAAAAGTGGAAATGAAAATGCTATATATTTAACTCTCAGTTTTATATGTTGTTTATTTATTTATTTAATTTTTATGGGCATAATCCTGTTATTCATTCTGTTTTCCAAGAGTCCTTTGGCAATGAGTACAATATTTACCAAGCTCATTTAAGGTGTCTGGTACCTCATTATGAAGTTCTTTTAGCATCAATAAACAAGCAGCAGAGCTTAGGCAGAGCTGACAGTGAACCAATAACTATGCTATATATTCATATTTTAAGCAGATTTACTCCCTACTTTATCTGATAATGGGGATATATATAGAGAAAAATCACTATCTTTTAAGAATATAGTTTGAAACTTTTTGTGGGCAGCATATCTAGTTATTTTCTCCTCTAAACGTCCTTTCACAAAGAGATTCTTCTTTCCATGTATTTGCGAAGGCTTTCACGGCTGGTATCTAATGGTTGTTGTGGGTTTTTTGGGCTCTTTGTCCATGCATGGACAGAGTTCCTACTCCAGTTCTCTGAAGATGCCGGCCACATAGACTGTCAAAACATCAGGAAGAACAACTTTCAGAACACGGCCAAAGAGCCCGAAAAACCCACAACAACCATTCTTCTTTCCCTTTCCATTTTCAGTTCACAGATAATATCACATATAAATTTCTTCATTCGCCTTCTGAAAATGGTGCTGGTTGTTCTCTTATCAGAAGTAGGAGCTGCAACAAAATGTTGTAGTGTGGAGTGTCTTATTTAGATTTCAAGAGGCAGAAATGATCTTTTCCAGGATATTCATTCTATATTTCCTGCCTGCAGTTTTCCATTCTCATATAGAACACTGGTTCTTAACCTTGGGTTACTCAGGAGTTTTGGACTGCAACTCCCAGAAGCCTTCACCACCAACTGTGTTGGCTGGGGTTTCTGGGAGTTGCAGTTCAAAAACATCAGAGTAACAAAGGTTAAGAACCACTGATATAGAAGACACTCCATGGCTAAAATCTGGTTGCTTAGTTTAGTAAATCTAATTGTGCTCGTGGCCTCACAAGGCTGCAGTGAGGAAAATGTGTGGGACAGTGTATTCTGCCTTGAGCTCAGGGAGTGAAGGGTTAGGTGTAAGGTAAAGGTAAAGGTACCCCTTGACATTTAGTCCAGTCGTTTCCAACTCTAGGACACGGTGCTCATCCCCATCTCCAAGCCATAGAGCCAGCGTTTGTCTGAAGACAGTTTCCGTAGTCACGTGGCTAGCCCAACTAGATACGGAATGCCGTTACCTTCCCACCGTGATGGTACCTATTTATCTACTTGCATTTGCATGCTTTCGAACTGCTAGGTTGGCAGGAGCTGGGACAAGTGACAGGAGTGCACTCCGTCGCATGGATTCGATCTTACCACTGCTGGTCTTGTGACCCTGCAGCACAGAGGCTTCTGCGGTTTAACCTGCAGCGCCACCACATCCCACATTAGGTGTAAATAAAGTAAATAAGTAAATAAATAAAAGTTGCAAACAGAAGTCTCCCTGGCAGAGAACAGGGGGAGTAAGCAAATGAAAACAAGGCCTTTGTAAGCTTATTCAAGTAGTGGGAAACCATGGTTTCCAATTATCTGTGAACCCGACCATTGTCTTTTAGTATTCATGGATGCAGCACTGAATGCAGAACATTTGCTGTACTGAGTAAATTACATTTTAATCTTTTCCTCGTTTATTTCAGTAAGGAGAAATGGTAATCCTTTTTGGAAATTGTGAGGCTTTGTGCTAAGTGTTTTGAAATTTGCACAGTTGTTTTAAAGAGCCATTTACTTGTCACATCAAATTTAGAAGAACTGTTACTTGGGGATTACATTTTCTCTTTTATTACTTCCACTTACTAAAATGAAACAGAGAGCTATACCCTTGAACTATTAAAATTAGATTTAGCATCCAATTATAATTTATTTTAATCAAAGCAGAGTAGATGTTAGCTTGGCACTGATCATAACTAGACAGGTAACTAGCAAACTTTCTCTCTCTTTTTTGGCTCAGAGGTATATGTACAGGAATATGGATTTAGAGAAAGCAGGGAGATTCTCATCCCAAAATTTCACAAGAAGGCTGTTTGGCTATGATAAACTGTTTATGGATGACTGGCACCATCTTCCTGTGTCAATAATAGTGAGGCTCACTGTTTTGCATATGCCTTTATGAGGGACGTGGTAGCAGTGCGGGCTAAACCGCAGAAGCCTGTGCTGCAGGGTCAGAAGACCAAGCAGTCATAAGATCGAATCCACGCGACGGAGTGAGCTCCCGTTGCTTGTCCCACCTAGCGGTTCGAAAGCATGCAAATGCAAGTAGATAAATAGGGACCACTTAGGTGGGAAGGTAACAGCATTCCGTGTCTAAGTCGCACTGGCCATGTGACCACGGAAGATTGTCTTCGGACAAAACGCTGGCTCTATGGCTTGGAAATGGGGATGAGCACCGCCCCGTAGAGTCGAACACGACTGGACAAAAATTGTCAAGGGGAACCTTTACCTTTACCTTATGAATAATTCTGAGAAATACTACGACTCAAATATGCTCATAATTGCTATGCTTTAAAGAGAACTATTTATGCAAGAACTTACAAGGTTCAGGCAGATTGCCCCATTTAAACTAGTATTCTGTTTCTGACAATGACCAGATCTTCAAGCTTCAAGAGTGCCTATAGATTTAAGATTGATTGGTTTAGGTATCTGACTGCAGAGCTAGAGGTTGAGAGTTTGATTCCCCACCGGGCCTCCTGCATGTAGAGCCAGCCTTTGTGGCCTTGGGCAAGCTGCACAGTCCCAGAGCATCCCCAGAAGAAGGGAATGGTAAATAACTTCTGAGTACTGTATTTTCTATCTGGAAAACTCTGAAAAGGGTTGCCATAAGTCAGAATTGACTTGACAGCACATGATTATAATTATTATTATAAGATTTAGTTTATTACTATGCAAGAATATACAGCATTACTTCTGTGGTTAAACAGAGTGCTTTAGTAAATGTCCATCCTGACAGATACTTATAGTTTTATTTTTCCAGTACCCTTTAAATTTATTTAAAATAAAAGTTTTCCAAATCAGCTTTGTTCGGGGTTGCCATATGGCACATTTCATTATTTCTTTCTCAGCTGTCATTTTTCTTAACGCTGGCTGGGAAAGGTTGACAGTGTGTAATGTTATTCTGCATTTGTTATACATTGATTTCATCAAATATATTGGTAAAGGATTTTGCTGGGAAGTCCTTCCTTTGCAAATAATGGTGCTTATATAGCTTATACTGTATAGTTGTAGGTCTGTGTTTTGGGGGCAGTTCCTTTTCAAGGGGCCTTGTGTAAAACGGATATCCACAAAATGATTCATTATGTGTTTGTGTGCTGATTGTATGCTATTGATTCAGAATTGGCTTTCCAGAATGTTCAGGTGCGTTGGACTGAGACTACAACTCCAATCACTTCCAAATAGTGTGGGGAAAATTATTCTAAATAATGCAAAGAAAATAAGTACCCTTCTGAGTCACATTGAAATTTTCCCCATGTTCATCTAATCTAACATCCTGTTTCTAGCTACTTGTTTCTAGAAAGTCCACAAATGTCTCTCTGAAGGCAACAGCCCCCTCTTTATCACTTGTCTGCCTTTTTATTTAGTGTAGTGCTAATTCTGTGTTGGAGACAAGCAGAATAAGCAACTCAGAATGCATGAACATGTACTGCTTTTATGTCCTTAGCTTCTTATTCTGTTTCATTTTTCCCCCTCTCTTTACAGTTTGAAATGTTGACTGGGTCATTACCATTCCAGGGAAAGGACAGGAAAGAGACAATGGCCCTCATTCTCAAGTAAGTAAAAAACACCAGCTTACCTTCTTCAATTCCAGTTCGCCTGCTCATAACTCAGGTTCTTATTCCTCCGGGATGAGTAGACTTGCTGTAAATCTGAAATCAGAGCTGAAAACTAGTAGCACCACTTCTCTCTAATTTTGGGGGGCTTTGAGATAGTTTATATTTATTTTGACATTTATTTACTTTTTTTAATTTAAAATATTTTTATCCTGTCTTTCTCCTTAAAAGAGCCCAAACTGGTATATGGCGCCTCAGTTTCTAGTCCGTGTTCATTTTAACTTATTTTAAGTCGTTTAATAAATAAATTCTGCTGCATTTCTGGGCTTTTCTTACCTATTACACGCGGAAGGCTTCAGTCATAGTATTTAGTTAGTTATGTGTCATCAAATTAGAACTAACTTATAGCAAACCTAAAAGGATTTTCAGGGTAAGTGAGAGATTTAAGGAGGGGTTTTACGAGTTCCACCCAACCAGTGAGTTTCCATGCCTGAGTGGAGATTTGAACCCTGGTCTTCAGAGTCCTAGTCTATCACTCTGTCCACTGCACCACACTGGGTACCACAATGGGTATACATTGGAATATTTACATCCTGTTAATTGGCATGTGTTTATTATTTCCTGTTACTTAGACTGATGATTAAGGACTGTTTAGGTATCAGAGGACCCCTAACCTCTCCCTGTAACATGGGTTCCCATTTAAATAATGTGCATGTTCCATCTTTCTAATTTTCATACCAGATGATCAGCTCTAAAGGAGGACGATCAATTTATACATGTGGCTAGTACAGTATGGTGCTTTGAGTCTTGATCTGGAGCATGGGAGGCCTAGGTTGTGAATGGCCTTAGATCAGTTACACTTTGAGCCAGAATGTCTACACAGGGTTGTTGTAAAAATAAAACAGGGAGGGGAGCCATACATCTTTCTTTGAGCTCACGGGGGGGGGGGGGG